CGCGGGCGGGGGCGGGTGCTGCCTGTGCGTGTGTGCTCTCGCACGTGTGCAGGTCCACGCGTGTGCCCATGTACGCGTGTGTCTGGGTGCGTGCGGGTGTCTGTGCATGTACGTGTGTGTGCATGTGTGCATGGAAGTGCGTGTGTGTGTACCTGTGCGTGAGCAGTCGTGCTCTTGGGAGGGAGGCGTGATGCCAAGTGATGCTGGGGCAGGTGGATGAGCTTCCCCCTTCGGCATTAAACCATGGGGGCTGCACCAAGGCATCAGGGCAAGGTAGTGAAGGAGGGCTGCGCGTCCCGTGCAAGCCAAGAGACATGCACGTATGCCTTGCTCAGCCTGTGCTGGATGTCTATGAGCGCATGCATACGCCTGCAGGTTTAGTGGGAAAGGTCAAAAGTCAGACTGGTTCTTTTTGTATTCGCTGTCCGTATCGGGGCTTCTTGAGTCTTTGTAGAACAATGTAGATCATGGACTCGGGCATGTTGACCCTTAGGCTGCATTAGACTGCTTTGTTTTGCAGGACAGAAAGTTAAAGCAGGGGGCCTAAAATGCCTCTTTGCTCAAATACTTAAAATGCTTCCCAGTACTTTCTCTGTCAATAAACCAAAAGGAGGTGAGGACAACCCAAAAATGCAAATGTTCCCTGTGATACAGGAGTAAATCCTAAACAGTATTTGTAGGAACTGGACATCTGAACAAACCTGCCATTGTCAGCTACATGTGAGTGTTTGTGTGTATTGATTTAGCAGCAGTAAGAAGGTGATTAAAGAGTTTCCTATCACCCTCCCCGTAGTCAAAACAATCTGCTGGAATGGCTCTTAATTGCTTTTATAACACACGGATGTTTTCAGAAGTAAAAGAGCAGTAGTCAGACAGTTCTTCTCAGAAGGAAGATTTCCTACAGCATGTAAACATGAAATAAATCTTTGCTTTAAAAGAAAAAAAAGTTAGCCCAAGATCAAACATTTACTGGGCTTTTTGGAAATGTTCTTCCTTTATTCTACCACTATTCTCGGCAGGTTTGTCTGATGTGGTTGCTTTGTGGGTTGAATCACCTGCTTATTATAGTTTCGAAAAAGGTTGACTTTGAAAATGATACCAGAAAGACAAAATGCCTCCACCTCTTTTTATGGGACTTTGTGCTTTAGGAACTGGAAAACTAGGATGATTTACATGCAATAGCGTTTTTAATGCTTACTCTTCGTAAAGGATTTATTTTCTTTGCTGCTTGGTAATATAAATAAGAAACCTGCCAAAGCTCAATTAAAATTCAAAACATTTTAAATTATTGTATAGTCCAGACAGTCCATCTGTCTGAGAGTGAAAAATGGTCCTGAATGAAAAAGAGTAATCATAAATACAGCAAATAGACAAAAAGTCATATTCAAAATCAAATGCACTATTTAAAACCACTTACCTTAGATTCAGATTTTTTTTAATGTTTTGTGGTTTTGCAGTGCACAGCAAAATCTTAGGTATGATTCTGGAACAACTTCTTTTTGAGGCTTTGTTTACATTGTTAACAACTTCCAAAAAGCCAGTTCACACATTCCCTTTCTTTCATGTTTTATATGGACTGTAATCTGTGCATATCAATTGGTTAAATATGTTGGCATACCCTTGCCAAATTGCAGGCTTCAAATAGTGCCTCATCTCCCGAATACTTTGTATTATTAATATATATTACATTTTTGGGCAAATGTAATATAAATAATGCTATAATCCAAACATTAGCAAATAAGCAGCATATTTCATGCACATAAAAAGCCTGCACCGAAGATAGCAAGTTGTGTCAAGAGGTGTGGGCCCATATGCTAGATAAGATGTCTGGCAAATACTTTATTTTTTCAGTGGGTAGATTCTGTTATATAAAATTCCCATCTGTACTTTGATTTCCATTCAAATGATCTAATAATGGATGTGTTTTTTTAAGATAGTGCTATAGAGAAAGTAAAGTATATTTTCAGGTAATTCAAACCTATCTTCCAATGTTTGAGTAGGCAGTTTAGCAAATAGTGTATAATCATTATAGATTGTAACTGCATAGTACTGAATGTTTTAGCCTCAGCACTGAATAAAATCCTTTCATATTCAACGTAAAAAAAAAAAAAGGTTTCTTAAATGGTGTAGGATTCTTGTTCCTAGATGAGGCTTCTCAGACTGCTTTCCTGTGAATGTTGTATACATTTGAAATTTCAGGAAAAAAGTAGACCACGTTTATTATAATATGTACATTTTCTGCTTGCTTTCAACTACATTTTGGATGTTTTTATTGATTTTTGTTACAAGTTGAGTTAAAGCAATCTCTTTTTTTTTTTCTTCTTTCTTTGGATATATATTCAGGTATCCTTGAATTCATCAGTGTGGCAGTGGGACTGGTCAGTATTAGAGGTGTGGACAGTGGCCTTTACCTTGGAATGAATGAGAAGGGAGAACTCTATGGCTCTGTAAGTACCACTTTCACGTCAGCTCATACATGTTGAGGTTTTGATTCACTTCTCAGCGCTATGAAACCCCTCAAGTAGCTAGCTGAGGTAGTCTTAGCTTTCAAAACACTAACATCTTTTCCTGTTGAAATGTATAATATATTCTTAAAGTATATGGTATAGCCTTGGATACTGAAGATTTGATGGGAAAAGTTTCTCTGTCCTAGATGAAGAGAACTGAAAAGAAATATTCTTCTTAAATTATGACAAAACCAGCTAAATTAAACTATCTGTTCAAAAAGCATTTCAGTTGCCTAGTATCTAACTTCATTTTTATCAATACTGCAAATATATCATAGCATACATGCTATTATCAAAAACATTGAATGCAATTGGAAAAAAAAGTTAAAAGGATCGTTATGGAACAAATAAACAACAATTAATATAGTACCTTGACTTACTTTATGTGTAGCCTAATGCTCCTTTACAAATCAGGAGGCGGTAATTCCAGGTACCAGCTTTTTAACGTAAAAGCATTCTTTCAAATGCTGGGAAAAAGAAGATAATACCATATGTCACAGTTAGGTACCACTGTTGTTTGAAGCATCTGAGTGGTGTAAGACTACTGGCAATACCTGCAGATCCTGACACTTGAATGTTTGCATTTAAGAATGAAAATAAGCTTGTACTCATTACAGTTTGTATCTGTTGACTAACTTCAACATGACTGTAAAATAGAATCTTCGATAAAACGTGAGAAGTGGTGCATACCACAAAGAACACATGGAGATACCTTCCTGAGCTGTTATATTGCACCTGTGTCCCTCCACCAAATCTCATTTCTAGAATGGTGGATACCCTAAGGCAGAACTCTACATAATATAGTTCCTGTGGGTCAGGTAAATTTTAGTTAAATCATAAATGAGTAATGCTGCCTTAGAGAGAGAGTTATCTAACTCACGTTTAAATCCGAAATTGTGTATGTACAGCTCCAGTTTTCAAAAGAATAAAGAATAAATTAGGCTTCCAAACTCAGTGTCAAGGCTACATACTCTTCTTGGGTTTGATTTGTTAACAGTTAAATGAACAGTAGGGCAGCACGCAGCCTAAAACATTATGTTTGTTTTTATCACATTTTTTTCACGTGTTTTCAGATATCTAGCGGCAGCTTGACTTATTTTTCTTCACTGTTTCTTTCTGTAGGAGAAACTAACGTCTGAATGCATCTTCAGGGAACAGTTTGAGGAAAACTGGTACAACACTTACTCGTCCAATGTGTACAAACATGGAGATTCGGGGCGGCGATACTTCGTAGCACTTAACAAAGACGGTACTCCCAGAGATGGGGCAAGGTCCAAAAGACACCAGAAATTCACACATTTCTTGCCCCGGCCTGTGGATCCTGAAAGAGTTCCAGAACTGTACAAAGATGTCTTAGGATACAGCTGAGGAAGGAGGCAACTGTGGAAAAAAAACATACTGGAGCGGTTTGATCTTGCCCCTGCTTCCGTGGCAATACCAGCACGAGGAGCCTGCAGAGGTCTAGGATGCTGGATTGGAAGAAGCTACTTTGTGATAGGCAAGCCTCTGTTTTCTATCCTTTGGATTTAGGAGACAAAGCCTTAAAGCTGGGAGTGGACCAGCCTCCTTCAAACTTGCTGAACTGTTCGGTGGCCAGTAGCCAGAGGGAAGTTGGAGTGTGACTTTTTTAAAACTAACAAACTCTTGGCAATTTTGTCTGGATTACCTATGGGCCATAAATTAGCAAAGAACTACCTACATCATGTGGATGAGACAACAGCTGGAAGAAGCAGAAAGAAATAGACTGTAAAATAGTAATAAATCCTGAGAATTGTATATGAAGTTTTAGTGGCTCCACTTTAGTGATGGACCTTAGATGTTGATGCGTCATAGTCAGAGCTGGAACTTTTCTTCAGGATGGACCTATTTATACATCTCCAGATAGCATATATTTATTTTATATATTTATTTATTAAAGAGTTTATTTTTTACTGGGATATGAAGGGAATACAAGCCCCTAGCCCCAATGAGAAGTCATTTACAGTGCCAATATCTACTCAGAGTAGTGTCATGATACAGAAGTGACATTACATTGCAATGCATCCAAAACCTGAACATTCATATTTCATTGTTTATCACTTACAGATAAGGTTATATTTTACGCACATACCATTGCCTTGTTACTGTCCTTATTTTGGAAAGAATGTTTAATTTTTTTTTTGACCTATGAGAGTGCCTTACAGATCTGTATTGAATTCAAATGCACATTTAAAAAGGGAATTAAAAATTATTTCACTTTATTTGGTTTACTGTCATTTTTAAATTGAGAGTCTCTTAGCACACTATGTGTAACACTGAAAACCTGCAACAATTGTGAAGAGTGTATTGCAGTTACCTTGAAAGAAAAAATAGCATTAGCTCTTGAAATCTTGATTCAAATCACAACATGCTTGACGTTTTTTGCCAAATGGCTCCTACTGTCTTTACTAACACACAAATAACTATTCTCTGTGTTACTTAAAATTTTCATGTAGGACTCTCATCACTGTATAAGATATTTTAATTATATTCCCTATGAATATGTTTAAGAGGAAACAGTATCAGAGTAAGAAGTTTCTGATATTTCTGAATGAAAAGCTTCTGTGAGTGAAGGTTGTTTCTTCCCTGAGTACAGAGGAGCCTAAGGAGACTACTTTCTTATCTTAATTCCTCTAGGAATAATCTCAGCATTGTTTTTTTGCGTGAAGACTGTCAGGACAAAGATGAGCTCTATGCTATTTACAGCTATATAACAGGTAGATCACACTAATTTACCTTAATTCAGGACTGCCAGTTACGAAGCACAAACTCCTCTGCATATTGACTTAACTGGAAAGTCTCCACTCTCTGTAAGAGTGCTAAGGGTTAATGACAGACCCTATATGATTTAGACCTAAACCTGCTGAAGCTTGCTGTCAGATGATTGCCACCTCCACGGGAAAGGTCAGTCCAGGGAAAAGACTGCAGGAGAGGGCAGCGATATGTATACCGTACCAGAGGTGGTCTTACGTTTCAGGTGCCAGTGCTCCCAGTGGGCTCGAGCTCAGGATAACTCATTTGAGTTCAGTTTCAGTTTTGTGGAAGCATATACAGTTCAGGTACTGCACGTGCATCATTTACATCAAATCAAGGTATTAACGAAAAGCATTTTCCAGTCTGTAACACACTTGCTAGAACCATCACTGTACCAGAACTTCTTCCAATCTATAATGAGAAGTGGATGAGCATAGATTACTGCTGGACTGTGGACAAAATCATTTAACTTTCTGCCAAATAGAAATTGAATGCAGATACACAAAAAGATGTTTCAGCACTTTGTGGCCAGCAATATGTAACTTACTAAGGTTAAAGGCTTCATTAAAATTTACTGAAAAACAGGCAGTGGAAGACCTACAGTGCACTGAATGCAGTTCAGTAAAATAATGTTGTAATGCACTTCAACTTACCATAAAACAATGATTTTATGGGTGACACTGAGTCCCATTAGTAATAGATCAATAACTGAAAACAAAAGTATATGCTTTAAATAGAAAATCCTTTCCTCTGCATGTTAAAAAGTAATCTATTACATGTAAGTCGTGTAAAAAAACAGTGGCTGCTGCTCAGGATATAATTCCCATGGCTTTCTGGCAAACACGCTCAGTGTTTAAATCATACCAATAAAAGAGTTCTCTCTCTTTGGATTAGCAGTTTACTGTTAATCCAACTACCTCAAAAGTACTTTGAAGATGGAAGGACTGTAATCATCCTTGTTATTATTGTGCATCTTTTTTCACAGATACGATACAGCTCAGAACAGTAACTGAGGATACCTTTAAGTGGTAAATAGTCAGCTGAAACTTCTGTATCCAAACACCTAGCCAACATATAGATGAAGAGGAAGAGTGATATATGCTTGTCATTCTCTTGCTCCATTCCCATTTTAGATATATGCCAATAATCCTTGAACAAAATGTAATGGAGCAGGTACAGTGGTGATGAATGACTGTACAAAACCTACAGAGCATTTGAAAGCTGTCACAGCCTCCTTTTGTGGTTCTGGTATATTGCCATTGAAGAAAGATACTGCATTTTCCCATTTCATTTTGCTTGTAGCATTTATTTGCTCTTTGTTACATTCTGTCATACATACATACATACATGATCTTCGGACACAGTTAATGTTTTTCTAGTTAGAAAATGGCGGATGCAAAAGCAACACCTCAAAACAGCTATTTTCATGTCATTAGACTAACAGCTTTAGTTGTCAGTGGTTGCGTTTTTTGTGTGGTTTTCACTCCCACATCAGAAAGCCCAACTGGATAGAGGGGGAGGGGTTGGTTCTGTTTAATCAGTAGAATTAATGATCTAGTTTACCACTCATTACATTTTGCATAACCCTATCAATCTGAAAGCTGTGGGCTGCTTTAATGTCATGAAGAGGGTAATCTGAAGGAGGTGACGTTGTTCGAAGTTCAGAGGAAATCTCTGAAGGCAGAGAAAATGTCACATCTTGAAATAAATCTCTGCATGATTGGCTGCCCTACTTCTGCCTTTCCTTTTTTCCAGGGAAGGAGAACCATTCCAGGTAGTTATGCAGTTTGCATAGCAGGTGCAGCTCCACTTTCTGCTTCCCACTGATTCTCCCAGTAGCTGTAAAACTTGGCCCTTTGATCTCAGAGCTGGCTGTAAACTGAGTGCTCCATGCCAGTTCTGCATTTCTTCACATATTTTGTTTTCTGCTGCTCTCTTTTCCAAGTTGTGTCAGAAATAATATACTAGCCATACAGAAGATTTTCTGAAATCCAGGAATAACCTTGACTTCTGAGCATATTTGAAGTGAAATTGTTACTTTTAGTAATCTTTGTGCTCTTGGTCAGAATGCAGAAGGTAGAATTTTTAACAGTCTTCTGTGGTAGTCTTCTAGCTGTGATAGTTAGAGGATATAGGAGAACCCAAGTGCCTCTGGAAGTGGGTATTTTTTATTAGATGAGCTGATATAATCAGAGCAAGCGGGCAGCTAGTCTAGAAGGCGCACAGTCCTTTCAATGGTCTGAACCATTTGTGTTTGCATGGAGCAGTTTGGTCCCATCCGTATCTTCATGTTTTCTGTCACAAGCTTATTGATGTTATCTTTCATGCTCAGGTGTGACAGCCAGCTTCACTGATTCCATCTGAAAGTCCAAATCACTGGTATGGCCACGCACTCTGGTAGCACTCCGGGGTTGTGCAGAATTTACTTTCTGACATGTGAGAGTCAGTTAACAAGTACATTTTCATAATAACTTTCATTTCCAACTATTTTCATTTCTTGATGTGCTTTGTTATCTCTTTTTTTCATAGCCATCCAATCTTGCTTCATTAACTTTGTGAAGTTTTGCTTAAAGATAGGTCTTTACCAGCAGCTGTATGAGCTACGGTTGTGATTTTTTTTTTTCCCCCAGTTTATGTAATCATACTAGTATCACCATGTGCTGGTTTTGGCTGGGATAGAGTTAATTTTCTTCATAGTACCTAGTATGGGGCTATGTTTTGGATTTGTGCTGAAAACAGTGTTGATAACCCAGGGATGTTTTCGTTCTTGCGGAGCAGTGCTTACACAGAGTCAAGGCCTTTTCTGCTTCTCACCCCACCCCACCAGCGAGCAGGCTGGGGGTGCACAAGAAGCTGGGAGGGGACACAGCCGGGACAGCTGACCCCAGCTGACCAAAGGGATATTCCACACCATATGATGTCATGCTCAGCATCTAAAGCTGGGGGAAGAAGAAGGGGGGGTTGACATTTGGAATTATGTCATTTGTCTTCCCAAGTAACTGTTATGCGTGATGGAGCCCTGCTTTCTTGGGGATGGCCGACCACCTTCCTGCCGATGGGAAGGAGTGAATGAATTCCTTGTTTTGCTTTGCTTCTGTGCACAGCTTTTGCTTTGCCTATTAAACTGTCTTTATCTCAACCCATGAGTTTTCTCACTTTTACTCTTCTGATTCTCTCCCCCTTCCCTCCAGGGGGGAGTGAGCAAGTGGCTGTGTGGTACCTAGTTGCTGGCTGGGGTTAAACCATGACACACTGTACCATGGCTCTAGTTATACCATTGCAAACCATTAGGTTTGCCTTACTCCTTTTTCTGTACAGCAGAGAGCTAACCAGAAGTAAGGAAGGTAGATACACACACTATAAGTGCATACTATTGCCTTAATTATGACACAGGACCAAGCCTGTGTCATAAATACCGAGAACACTGTGGTAAGATGCTTAAGTTTTGCTCATCTTGCTCCATACCGCATGGAGATGCTCTCAGTAAGGAGGCCTTTTGGAAATCTTCTCTGCATTTGCTCGTTTTGCTTTTCATGTGAGAAAAAATACTGACTTCACTGCTGTTAAATTCTCTGCAATTATTTGGTGGGGTTTTT